CCCCACAGCGCACCGCCCTCAAAACTTAAACCTTCTGGCGAAGCTTGTATTCTACGAAATCACTAGATGAGAGGGCTGAAAATACAAAACCGCGGCCGCTCGATCCCCGAAATCATTGCTGCAAAAGAACCGGCAAGGTCGTGAGCCTGGCTTCCCAAGCAGCAAAACAAGCAACGCACAGGGATTCAGGTTTCTACAGGGGCGGCTGAAAATATGGGTAAGCCTTGATGTACCACAGAACTCTACGACCCTGAATCAGATCTTCATATAGTCTCTGTCTTCTGGGGCATCGGGTTGACTGGTTGTCTGCTATTGGAAATCGGTCAACATTCCTCGGTGAAGATTCTAAGAAGCTTGACGAATCTTGCAAGCACAACCTAGTGCGTAGACGCGAGTCCTTGCAAAGCACTGCATAGCAAAGCTTCTTCTGTTTGGCCCTGGCAAGTCTCTGCCTTAATAGGCCAGCCATTCAAACTCCCTGATAGACTTGAGGCCTCCAAACTCACGCACTCAAACATGGGACGTTCACATCAGCCTCGAGAAATTGCTTACGATCCCCATGAGCCCAACACAATGCCACTACACCTTCAAACCTAGACCCTAGACCCAAAACCACCAGCCATGAGCCCCCGTGCCAAGCACCAAAGCCACATGCTCATCCTGGGTCACGTGGCACATCTACATGCCTCAAAGCATGGCGGACATGAATTCCATCTTTCCCCATATATGATCCCAGCCACGGATGGCCACAACGCGGGAAACCCTGCATTGCATGCAAGCCGGGTAGCAGGGCTGCAGAGCTAAGCACAGATGCCAAGTGGACTGCCGTGGGAAACGCCAGACCCTCCTGGCAGTCAGGTGTTCTTGTGGAAGGCAGTAGACTGAAAGCATGTAGCCAAAAGTGACCTTCTTGCAACACTGCTGATGGCCTCTGCTCATTTTAGGTACCAAGCAGTTCAGCACAATGTAGGAGAGAAATGCATGTAAGGAGCTGAGCATCTCACACAGTGGCAGGGAAACTTGAACCCTTGCCTCCAGCTGACACAGAATATTACAAGAAGTCTACTAGACATCTTCAAACCATACTCATGACGAAAACTGTCAACATCCAAAAGGCTCAAAGTGGCCTGTAGATGATCTCGCTTGCGGCTTGCTTTTGTTCCGGTTCACACTTACTAGGTATCTCTTCCCGAGAGGATGCGCCTGTCGAGAGTCCATGACGGGCTTGATGATCTCCACTCGGGCCTGGCCAGCACATATAATACCCTTGGGAATGGAGAATCAAAAATGATAAATGGTAAATGAAATCGAAACTGGGCGTATGTAGGGATGATATAGGATTGGGCTGCAAGGGTGCTTTTTGAAGATGAGAGAAGAAGGCTTGGTCAATGACGTAAGGGGCCGGGAGAGCCTAGCACAACCACCACCAATTTGCAATAGTGACGCTTCCTGAGATTACGATGGTTCAAGACGAACAGCGATGATAGCTTGCAACACTTCTTTTGGAGCGAGGCCAACCTTGCAACCGCCTTCAAAAATATCTGAGCTCTAGTCCAAACTCCTCGTATCGCCCTTAATAAGCCCTGTAGTGGTCCCCGATATAACCCCCCATACAACCAGCCTTTCAGGAGTTTAGACTACAATTCATATGCGCAGGAATGCAAGGCGCACTGCAGAGAGGCTTGGAAAAAACACAGAAACGACGTTGGCACGTGAAAGTCGATAGAGCCGAAACCTCAAACAGAAACATGCCTTGGTTCTGGCAGACGCACCAAAAACCCTGTATCATCTATACTACACTCCTAGGGTAAACCGTTTCTTGTCATTTGAAGGACTCCAACGAAGACAATCCTCGCCCCTGCCCGAAGAACCATGAAGCGCACCGCGGCCGCAGCGAGGTAGAGCGCAGCCGAAGCCAAGATCAGGGCTGCAAAGTCAAAGCCTGGAGTGGCACCTGCAACTTCTGGGGTTTAGGAGTTTGGGGCTTAGGATGCTAGGGCTTTGGGATTCAGGGCTTTAGGCGGGCTTGGGACAGAATGTAGGCTTCCTGGAAGGGCTTGGGCTTCACAGCTACGAGCACAGTCCGCCTCAGAGGAATGGAGCATGTTGCTGGTGTCCCTGCGCTCAAATGCCATCTACTATGTGTTGTGGATGACGATTATTAACGTTTGAAGGATCCAAGCGTTCTAGGGTGGAGGGACGGAGAGCTCATCATTCAACATCTCAGCTTTCAAAGTCTTGCGATTCAGGCCTTCCTGGCTCACAGATATGCACTAGCTTGACGACTTGTGGTTCCAAGTTTTTTTTCAGGGAGTCAGGGCTTTTGGAGTCATGGGTTTGGAATTTAAGGTCGAGGGGTTCAGGGCCTGATGTGCGAGAGTGCAATCTTCATGGCAGGCTTGGAGTCTAAGCAGCTATCACTACATGTTCAGGGTTCTACTTCATGAATCTGTAATCAGACTTGACCATCACAGCCTGACTGTGGTGCAAATGGAATCTCATAATGCTGAACACTACCATTTGAAACCCCTGTACAACTGTATAAATGCTTATAAACCCCGGAATATACCTCTGTACGCAAGGTACCATGTTTTTTGAAAGCATCTTAAGTTAGCATTTGGGGAGCCTTCGACGCCCAGCAGCCGGACAAGGGTCGGCGCAAGCGCGGCTTCGGTGGTCCAACGTGGCGACAGCAAGAGAAGGGCCTTGGGGTGAAGGCATTGGGATGGACGACGGTTTATTAGGGCTTAGGGTTTCGGGTTACTTGCACTTAGCAAGAGTGAGGTTTTGCGATTCCTCTTGGGGCATGGAGGTAGGATACGTGCTAAGACCATGGTAGTAGCACCAACCCAGTATTTCAGCATACTTGCAGGATAAGCCTTGACAGCCTAACAGGCCCGCAATAATTCTGTTCTGAAACCCATTTACTGTCCACCGAGGAGATGCTGCAAGCAAGACTTTGTCTGTCAAGAGCAGCCAGTACACGTCTTGTCCTGCGTCTAGGGATTGCCTCATTGAGGTTCAGAATGTTCGGATCCCCAATTTGTTGAATTCCAATTGAGTCATGGATAGCTGCAGAACCAAGAGGCGGAGAAGGCACAGGCGACGAAGCTTGCAAGGAGGTTCCGAACTTCGGCTTGCCGAGAACCTGTAAAAAGAAATCCTTTCAGGTTAGTTGTATTGGATCCGTTTCGAGATTTAGGTGTTCCCATAAGGAGAAGCAGACTAACATCCTTGGCTATGGACCGGGGTTGAGGATTTCGGCCAGGCCCTGGGGTAGACTGGCTTCGCTACCAGGACCTGAACGGCATTGTACGTGGAAGAAAAAATCAACTTCTTCTGAACCCATAGACTAGAATCGCTTCCCAGACCAACAGTCCTCGTACGGTCCAACAAAAATATATAAGGCTTGAGGGGACGCCAGGGGAGAGGATGAAAGTCCACAGTGGAGCCTTCTTGTCGGGCCACGAGCGCGCACACTGACGCGAGGATGAAACAAGTCAATACCGCTGCGCTGCAGATGTCATTCAAGTCCTCCAGTTTGCAGTCGGGTGTTGGTAGGAAGAACATGACCGAAAAGGAGTCGCGTGGTTAAGAGCAGAATTGAAAATTGTTCTAACCCTCCTAGGCCCTAGGCTCAGCACCCGGAGCTTGAGAATGAAGGATGTCGGAAGAACCTAGGTCAGGACCCTGTAGTACCATTCTGCAGCAATACCCTCTTTGAGACCTACTGTGACTGTAGGGTAATCCTGATGGTTCCAATCCTTGGACTCAGGGGCCTCAGTTGATACTCAAGATAACCCTAAGCCCTCGACTGTATGGCCTCAAAAGGCACCAAGCCAGCACAGAGAGCTGTGACTGCGCCCCCCGACAAAGTCGCAAGCAGCGGCTGATCTTTGCTGTCCCTCTGCGCCAGCTGAGGCGGCAAGAAACCATCCTCCCAAAAATCAGAGATTTTGCAAGGAGCAGCGGACAAGGAATTTGCAGGGAAGCTAATGATGTCCAATCACTGACAAATCTTGCAGGGTGGGTTGCGTCCTGCCCTTGTAGCCTAATTAGGATAGGCTTGACTCATAATTAAGAAGCTTATTATGGAAGGGCTCTACACTGCAAGATACATCTCCTAAGCAGCTCCTTCTCTTGCGGAGGGATAGGAACCCATGAATGATATGCTACGTAATCTATGACAGGGTCATAACAGTGATAACCGTACCAGAAGTTGGAAACTGCATAATAATCATCTTTGCAGATGCCACGCAATTTCAACAGTCCCCCACAAGCTGTACGAATGCCCTGGAAGCCCCTGGTTAGCCGGCTCAAACCAGAACTCATGTATGGGCCTCTGCAAGGCAACAAAGGAGCCGACCAAGGGGCAGCAAGCAGCCGAAAGCCACCACAGGAAGCACCAGTAGCTCTCCAACCTCGATGGTTCAGGGCCTCACACATGTCCTTGACTTTGGGCTTAAGAACAATATGTAGATCATTGTAGATCTCTAGAGTCTGAATGGCTTAGGAATTTCAGGGATAAGGATGCACACGCACTGGGAAGCAAGGGCAGCTCTTCTACCTTGAGGGCTTCGGGGTTTTGAGAGCCAGCAAGCGGCTTCATGGAATTTTAGGGAGGGGTCTCAAGGGAGATGGCAAGCATATGGTACTGTTGAGTAATACATGTCAAGGGACCAGCAGAACAGCTCTCACAGGTCCTGGATTTAGTGCAGGGCAGGATTTGCTGGGCTGCTCACACTTCTGCTATCAAGCTGCAGCCTCTCAAACCTGAAACTGCATTGGAGCAACGACCATGTCCACAGGGATCTTACCAAGACGGAGTCTTGACACAACAGACGGCATCTAATATGGTGGTCTTTGAAGGTTGCCTTCGCGAAGGCTACCATGACTCTTGCAGGCCAAGGCAGGGAGCCGAAGGGCCTCATGCCCAAATTCAGATATCTGCGAAGGTGAGGCCGTAGATGTTACTTGTAATTCCTAAGCTGGTGACGTCCCCACAAGGCCTAGGGGTTTATGGGAAGTATGTGGGGGTAAAGTTCCTCCATGCGATCGTATGAAAACATGAGTTTAAGAAATCTCCCCTTTGAGTTGCACACCTTCCAGAATAAACACCACGGCCTGTTCGAAATTGAAAGGCTCTGAGTCCCGCACGGCGACGACTGCGGCTGCAAAGTCCTTGCCCAAGATCTCAAAAGCTGAAACGAAGCCTCCGGGATAGGGCTTTGGCAACTTTTGGCTTGAAGTTCAGCTGAGGCAAGCGATGCTTTGAGGAATTTGGCGTCCTCTAGCTGATGCTACCACATGCCCCTTGGAAAGACTCCCGAAACCTCGTACACATTAAAGCCTGCCAAATCCTGAACTTGATACCGCGCTGCACCCTGACGCGCAACCCTAGTAATAACAACGTTGATGCTGCAATCCAGCCTCCATGGGATGTCCCCAGGTCAAGACAGCCTCCCTGAATCCACAACAAGACCCCACAACCCAATCACCCCAGAAGCCAAACCTCAGGACATGAACCTAACCTGGAGGAAGCATCACCCGAAGACCTTCCCTGAAGCCCGTCTAGCGTTAACGATGACCAGCATCATCACTGAAAACAGTGCATTTCAAAAGCTCAACCCAAAGTTTGAGAACTCAAGCCTGAATCTCAATCTCTAGGGTCCATGAACCAAAACCCGGAGAGGCAGCCGACCCAACCAAACAAGAAGTGATGCAAACCAGTCATTGCACATGCAACAGAGGTGAACATCCAGCAAACAGATATGTGGATGATAGTTCTGAGTTGCCGCAAACTTCAAACACTCTAATCAAAGTCTCTACGCCCTTAGCCTCCTAGCTGCCGAGACCCCCAGACCAGCGTCCTTGACTTTCAACTCACCGGGTCTTGCAGCAGCTTTTGCCCAGGCCTGCAGAAGGGTCGATTCGCGCTGCTGGAACCGCTGAGACCAAGGCAAAGCCTCCAAAAGTGAGATCGCAAGGTTTGGGTGTAGGTTTTGGGGGGTTGCAGGGAATTCTTGAAAACGAAATGGGTCTCTGTGAGAACTACACATGAATCACTTCTTCATGCCAACTGATGCATGCTTGGACAGTTGAAAGGCTTGAGTTGTGGGTGACATGGCACACGCCTTTGTCACAAAGCGGCTTTACGCTGAACCAAGGCAACTGTTCTAACTTTAAAAAAATACGGAGTAGGAGGCCTGCTACCTTGAAACTACATGCTGGGCGCGGGGACATCAGTGGGCATCATCCAGAGGCTCGGGATACAGGGCATCACCGCTCAGGAATGAGCAGTTCTTGTTGTTGTCTTCCACAGGCTCCTACCAAGTCGGTCTTGCTGGGATCCAAGATTTGGAGCTGAGGACGTGCGACTCCAGGCAGATAGCATGTGCGCTCTGAGCCATGTCGATAGCCATGGTAACACGCGTTCCTGGGGCATGCTGCATGCCTGAAAGACCATGGAAACCCGCAGAATCCACCGTGTTCACACTTTCGGGCCACTACAATCTCAATGGCATGCAGGAGTTTCTAGAAACCAAAAAATGATAATGGTCGCCTCGAATTCATGGGCAGGTCCTGGCCCAGTTTTTAAACTGAAAGAAAACGGCTGTTCAACCTGCATGTCCTGATTGGATATCAGGATTTTGCCAACTTTAACTTGTTTTCTATCCCGACTCCCACTGTTTGCCTCCCTGGGTTCAGCTATGCTACCTGTTGATCAAGTTGTGACATCTAGTTCCCTGAGCAAGTTGCACAGATGGCCTCAGGACTAGGAGAAGTATAACACAGGATCCAATAAAAGGCCAACAATCATGTCGATAACCTGCCCTACATCCCCTTAAGCGTGGGAAACCCTCATTTCCCCAAACAAGAAGGCTGCCTGCAAGACAGGTAAGACCACCCGAGATGAAAAGGCCCAAGAAGAGGGCTGAGGGCACCACCCTCTTGGCATCCTCTACACGTGGGCTTGGGCTGTTGCCAGGGCTTCGGGCCGAAGAAACAAGAAGATCATCTTTAAGAGTCTGGGACCTAGCGTTTGGGGCTTAAGAATAAAAAAGAGAGAAGGGATTCATATTCGTGATTGCCCTAAACCCTCTAAAGTTTCACCATATCTCTCCACTGAGCACTTGAGTCCTTGGTGTCCGAGGCAAGCGCGCAGACAGCATCAAAGCCCAGGAATCCGAAGAAGGAGTCCTGGGCGGAGGTTCGTAGAACTTGGTCCTAGTAATCTCGCGGGGGTGGACTTTACATATGCTTCCAAGCCAAGTTAGCATCAGTTCGCAAGTTCCACTAGCCTGCTTTGAGTTTTCAGACCATGAAAGGCTTTTCCCCAAAATAGCCGCATTTGCCCACATTAATATTATTGTAATTTAGAAGATGGAGTCTGGGACAATGTACAACCGGTGTCGAAGCTCAGGGTTCAACGTTCGGTCCAAGAGTTATGGCTGATGATGCAGGTAATTTGTAAGCCCCCTATGAAGATTTCTCTTGATAGAAAAACATATGTATTCTGCGTGTATATATATATATACAAAACCATACAACCTGTCGCCAACCCAAGCTGCGCATGGTGAAAGTCTTTTCAATTAGCTAGCATGTTCGGTTGGACTTTGGCGTGAGCTCACCTTGGTCCTCGTGACCGTACTCATGAAGTCTTGGGATGCTTATAGGACGGCAACGAACTGAAGCAGCTCCGACCCCAACAAAATGCATGCAACGTGAACTCGAATGAATGGCTGGAAAAGATATCTACAATCTGAAAAACTCTGAGAAACTCTGAGAAAACAGTCTGGCAGACCGATCGCGCACAGAAACCCCACAATAGAAAATGTCACTTCTAAGCCCAAGACCTGCAGCAAGACACAGTCAGCTCAACAAAATGAAGCCCCAGCGGCGGTGGCTCCTCGCAATATCCCAGAGATGCCATATTCCTGCAAGAGGTCGGCCATGGGTCACTCCCCATATGAGGGTTTGGGGTTTAGGGTCCTGCATTCAGCAATCTAGGTAGTACGGTGAATATTGTATTCAACATTCAAGAAACCGAGAGAACCACGCAACAGAATTTTAGGAGGATGAACAAAGCCTTTTGCATAATCTCAAAACCCAACAACCCCAAACTCAAACCCCCTAAACCTAACTTCCCCCACCAACCAACCTCCCCACCAAAACCCTCGGGACCAAAACCCCCGAACGCTCAACCTCACTACCTGCCACGAAACCTTCAAGCCCTGAATCCCTACGCCCTAAGTCCCTACACCCTGCATCCTCACACCCTGCATCCTCACACCTTAAATCTCTATACCCCTAAAATCCTACAACCTACTTGTTTCCCTCCCCCGGCGCCAGGAGGCAACCCCTATGTAACCCCCAATGATTTTTGCAGTTTCCATTTTCTGTTCCATTATCCCACTATAACCCCAATATCATCCCAATATAATCCTTATAATCCCTAGTAGTTTCCCCATTATCCCTATATAATCCCAATATAACCCATTATAATCCCAATATACCAAGCCTCCGGGATGAAGGGCTCTAAGTTCCTGGTATCAAAGGCCATCAGGGTGCCGAGGATCAGGAAGAGGATCAGGCCCACCTTTGCCTTGATTCCAGGTTCCGTCTTGTCACAACTTCGTAGTCCTTACTGGGTTGGTGGAGGGCGAAGGTTTCTGGCAATTTTCCAATTCAAGGCTGTTTGTTGTGCTTTTGGTCTTAAATTGACCTCGTGCTGTGCTGACACCAGGACTGGGGCCTCAGGAACCCTAAACCTGCAGCCCTTCACTCTTTGCCCGATGTCAAAACCCAAAGCCACGAACAAGTGGAGAGCCTTCACCTGAAGCATCCGGAAAAAGAAGTTTTGGGACAATCAAGCCTCAAAAAGCCTCTACATGAATCGTCGCATGCCTTTGACCTTTCCAGGTCTCTATCCAATCTGCTGGGACAAGTGGCCGCAGTGCTGACGTTGGTGAAAAGCCTGAGCTTCTTCTGAAGACCGGCTGTATCACACGCACTCTATTGAGACTCGCCGGCTTCTGAGCACTGCAACGACCAAGATCAACTACCCTTGCACCCCTTTAAAAGTGGATCCAAACAGAGCATGATCCATGCATCAAAGCAGAAGAAGGAAAGACATGATAAGAAATGTGTCTGGGTGCAAGGATGTTTCTGAATTCTGTCCCAAGAGCTTGGAGGCTCGTGTACCCCTTGCCAGGAGGGCAGTGCAGAAGAGCACCAGGAACACCGAAGGATCCAGTCCTGTGACCTCAGAGCCATGCAAGAAAGTAAGAAGATAATTACAGTGGTAGGATTTCAGCGCAGTAGCAGGCACAGGAGGCCACAGCCGTGGCAGCAGTAGCACTAGCCGATGGCAGAGGCAGCAGCACTCTCCGCTTGATGGCAGATGAGTGTGTTTTGAATGCAGGTCTCATACTTTTGGGGACGCAGCCCATGTCTTCAGGAAGCCAACCTGGGCTTGTCAAACATTTTCTCAAACCATCAGTATGATCTGGCTGGCGACACATCATCGCTTCAAACCAGCCATTATTCCTTGATGCAACCTCAACCACAAAGACAGCCACGTGTCCACCAAGGCCCCTAAACGTCATGAAGCTCCAAAACTTCCAACTTCCCTTCAAAGAGTGCCTTGACTGCCTGTGCAACTTCGTGCCTGCCGACGGTAGAACACCTACTTACGAAGTCCCATCAAGAGCACGAATTGGGAGGAACAAAATCTTCTGGCTGCCGAAGGGACAGGAAGTCCAAGGTCCGTTCGCAATAGCTTTCCGGCCCAGTCCACAGAAACCGCCGCGCAACTCCAGGAATATTCCTCACTCTGCAAAAAAAAGCTGCATAAACAAGGGGCCAGCCAAGAAAGCTGGAACAACAAACATTCAACAGAAAAGCCATATTCTATTTATTTAAGGGGGACTATACCAGAAACCCTAAATCCTTCATAGTAGTTTCCATTCTCTTTTCCATTATTCCTCTATAACCCCAATATTATCCCAAAATAATCCTTATAATCCCTGGTAGTTTCCATTTCATTTTCCATTATCCCTATATAATCCCGATATAACCCCAATATATCCCAATATTACAGTGAGACTCCACAACCAGGCACAGCGCTGCGACAGCCATGATGGATCTGCCCAGGCCTGTCGCCTCCGAATCAGTGGCTCCGTCCAAGTTTTGTTAGTAAGTGGGTTAATAATGGGGATAACTAGGGTTACTATATGGTTTATAGGGGTTATTCACCTACTTCCTTAAGCATCCAAAATAGTTGGACTCAAAAACCCAAACCCTATACTGTGCAGATCTGAACACCGGGACATCAGAGAACCTAGTGACCTGCCTTCAGACTTTGCTGTTCCAGAATCCTGATCACGACACAACCAGCCTGATAAGCGCAACTTCACACCTCCCTTCGGAACCGGGTACTCAACAATTCGGCGCATGGGATTGTGCCAAGAGAGCAATGAAATATGCATGCCCAAACCATGGCATGGAACCCCAAACCTGACGTATGAAATCTGGACCGATCGCCGAGCCACAATCAACAATTCGGCCTCAGGCTTTTGCACAGCTGGGGCTCTAAAAACCTCCAAAAGCTGGGCTTGCACTCAACCCTAAACTTTCGAGTCCGAAAACCCCAGCCCGACCGCACCTGGGCATAGGCGTAAACGGAGCCCGCGGCCACCACGCGGCTGGAGAGCTCGGCATAGGCTGCAGCGCTCAAGAGGCAGCCGAAGGCACCAATACCCAGAGACTGGGTACAAGGATTTAAAGCTTTAAGCATTGAAGGAGTTTGGACTTTACTTGGCATAGCGTGGCGTTCAGGCTTCTGTGCCACCTTGAAGTGCCAAATCGGTGTCGGGCGGTTCTCAACAATCTCAGTGAAGAGCTTGCAGCCATGTCCGCGCAAACCACGGCATGATCATGCTCTGCTCTTGACACAAATCATTGCTGTCGTTAACTTTTCAAAATAAGTACATGATGAATTGTCAGATGTTGCACACATCCTCCTGGAAAATAGTATTCAAAAAGCACAGCATTGGAGACGTGAAGAAGTGATCATAAACTCATACACAACACCTGAGCGATGGGACCCTACATTCCTCAACACGACGAACAAGTTTCTCCAGTACCCGTCAAAAAAATCATGCACAAACCAAGGATGCTAAGACTACTCAGGAAAAAACGATTTGCTGATAGGACGTGTCTAATCACAAAGGGAAAACTCTCCACTCTGTTCTTTCAAGCATGTACACTCCCGTCCAACAATATGGAATTTCCCACAGCTCCGCGCCCTCTAAATCCTAGACTGCAGGCCCTCTTCCAAGGACTACCTGGTGCTTAGGGAATGAAGGCATTGGTTCTTATGAGATGACTCCCTAAAGTGGTCCCAAGACATCCTGCTTCACTGCCCTACTTCTCTGACGCGTCCGAGGGGCCAAGACCACCGCGGGCCCCGCCTCCTGCGAAGCCACGCGGCCCGCCAAGGAGAAGACCCCGGACCCTACCTCGGCTAATCCCTTTTTTCCCTTAGATTACACCCCAAAATGAAAGCATGTACTCTTACCAGGAAGGTTGAATAGTGGCGAGAAGGGACTCACTTTTTGTTTTGACGTCTCCACATGGGGTGGCACCAGTCAAGGGCAACCATCCAGGCTCACGGCACCACAAGCACTGGTCGGACTGCACATCCATGGGACAGTAGACTCCATGGCAACCAAGCGGCAAACATGCACTTGAGATCACAGCGCATCAAGGTGCAGGCATCAACGGCACCACACCACGTACTGCCAAAAGTAGAGGTGGAAGAACCGGGGCTCACAAGGCACGTGCACGATCCTCTCATCCTGTGTAAAAAACTTTCCCAACCCATGATGCTTTACTGCCAATGCTGGTCGCGGCTCCTCATGCACGTTCTGTACATATCTGGCCAACAGTTCGCTAGCCCTTCCTTCCACAGCGTGTACTTCTGGCGCTTCTGCACCGCCTTCCGGAACATCTCCATGATCTTTGTGAATGAGCCAGCGTCGGATGTCTTGGCCACCTTGCACGGAGGCAGCACATTCGACACTAATGCAACATGACCGACTGAAGGAGGTCTAGTCTCCGACTTGTAACTTGCGGGGACATCAGGTCGAGCTCTGCCATCTGCCCAATCGCCACTCGAATTCAACTGCTGTCTCTTAAGTGCAAGTCGCATCACCTTGAGTGCAGCCACTTGAAATCCATTCGGCAATTTCACCTTCGGCAGCTGTAGCACAGAGGCTCGAGACGCAAAGGCCTTGAAAAAGTGTGCCCGATGTTTAGCAGGATGCTGCGGCGAGGTGGCCACAAAGTGGCTCCAATAATCGCAGTGCAAGGCAAGGCAAATGCACAGACCATTTTGGAGACCATCATTCATACATCATACGTCCAGAACCCAGGTGCGGGTTGTTGCTGAAACTCCACAACCGGAAACGCAAGCCCAAGCACAGCACGCTTCACCACAAACAGCCAAAAAGCTTACAAGCACTCCGCACATGAGTGAGGATTCAGATCCTTGTGATGCTTTGGGCCCTTCCGCATGGCCCAAAAAACAAGATCTACCAAGTCCGTAGACACACGACTCCAATCGGCCAAGCCATAAGCAACGGCGCTCATGCCAAACCTGATAGCTGCAAACCAGTGCCCTGAGTACATACTCCCACGCAACGAACCAAGCAGCAAAATCCGATCAACAGCAACCTTCACTTGCTTCAAATTTTCTTGCTCGGAGCAAGGCTGCCCTCAGCTTACCACCTCGGAAACTGCATATCAGGACGCCAGCGACCCAGATCAACATTCCCAAGTGCGGCTTTGCCGTTGATTCGGTTGGGAACCTGCAGCCCAAACATGTCAAGCCCAGTCCCCTGAACGCTAAACGCTGGAGCTCCATATTGGGATATCTACTGAACCTGAAAATGTGCTCATGCTAGGGACTGAAGGAATGAAGGCCTGTAGTAAATGTAAGGGTCCCCACATAATATCCCCCAGTTACAGTCCCCAAAACCCATGCCTTCATTCTCTACCATGCACCCATAATGCCCACCCACAACAGCTTCCACCGAGCTGCCGTCGACGCCACGGACAAAGCGACCAAGTCTGCCAGACCGTAGCGATCGCCTTCACCTCAGAATTCCAAATGGGTTTAGGGCTTCGGGTTGGTTTATAGGGTTTGAGGGTTTTGAGCTTGGTTCACAAATAATGGTTTTCGGAGACGAAGATTCTGCGATAGCTTTACAAAATCATAAATCGAAGAGTATAGCGAGGATTATCTTTCACGACACTTCAGGTTGTGCCAAGATGGTGATCCAACGCAAGCTTCCTGGCTTGGAGACTTTGCGACGATGTATGGGGACCTTGAGCTTGGAACATACGCAAACGCCTTTCGGAAAGGGCCCTTGAGGGATTGAGGGTTGAGTGGTGCAAAGCCTTTGGGTCGAAATGTAGGGCCTCAGGCCTGAGGTTAGAAATCCACGTAGCCCCTGCACACCCTAACTCGAAACCCACAAGCCTGACGCGTTGAACCCTAAGACCTCAAGCCTAGGCCACGTACTCCCAACATGTTCCCTGAAGCCCTACTGATCTCATGTGATCAGATGAATCGCAAAGAAAGCGCTCCGTTGGGCTATCTTGGTAGAATCCTGGGTGCATACCACCTAGAACCCCAAAACCCCTCTAGAATATACTACTAGACTATACTATAATATACTGCTACAATGTACTGAAATATACTACTAGACCATACTATAAACTCAAACCCTCTAAACATCTCTACCCAGACCCCTGGGAGGATCTAGAAAGTAGAACCCCCAATTTGGTACGCTATACTACTATTGGGTAATTCCTAGGAACCCTTAAGAGGGGTCTGGGATCTCTAAAGCCTTGAATCTGAGCTGCGGCCAGCCTTTAGAGGTCGAAGGCCTCGAGGCTTCCTCCTTTCAGGGCGGCAAAGCGCATGCAGACTATGTGGGGATATACATATACATATACATATACATATATATATATAGAGATATACAGATATAGATATAGACATACATACATACATACATAGATAGATACATAGGGGTTATATGATAAACAAGATATTGGAAAAGAAACTGGAAACTACTGTATTTTTTGGGGCTGATATCGTCCTTAGTTCATGTGACCGTTTGAGATACAGGAATTGGAATTTCGAGTGGGAGAACATTTGGACATACACACCCCCAAGGCCTGGAACTCAGAATGAAAGGTCCCAACATTCTGCCACGTGCTGTGTTGAATGCAATGCAAATCTGGTTTCGAGTCACCCAAAGGCAACTAGGCAGAAGTTGGCTGCACATCTGGTGTCCACTGTGGAGGTGGGGAGAAGTGCAGCGGGGTTTCTGGGCACATGAGACTATAACTGCCAAAGGACCATAAGGGGATGGTATTCCGAAATCTTCCAGTTTCTACATTATGTAACATGTAATATGATCCTCCAGGTGCAGGTAGTCCGAAGGGCTTCTGGCAGAACAGCGCGATGGGCGTATGGACGCATGGTGATTGCAGGCGCCCGTGGCACCAGCATCGCGTTGGTTTGCATCTTTAGTGCTGCAATTCGGATCATTGGATTACAGGTCAACTCAGGGTCGGACTCCCCTACCAAATAGCATGCGGGCATGTGCTTGTGCTGCGCATGCTGGTCAGCGGCTGAGCTGTCTGCATGGATGCAAGGATCAAGTTTCTTGGTAGTTGCATTGCATGACATTATTTCGGAGGTGACGAGAGGTAATACCTCTGCATGAAGTTTCTTCGGCTTTTGTGTGCTGACTACAGAAATTGAGTATCTCCAATGATCAACGCGCAAGGATCATGAGGAACGCGTTCCCTCTATCCTTCATTTGAGATGGCAACAATCCAATGAAGTGAAGTGAAGTAATGAAAGTGCCAACGTGAAGCTACAACCTGCAAGCCCACAACATCTCAGATTTTCTGCTGTGAAGACCCTAAAGTGGGACTTGCAAACTGCTTCCGACACCTTCCTGTATGTTGACTCTCTCAGTCACATGCAGTAATATCAGCAAAAAATCCTCAACGACGTCACACAACCCTGGCTTGAAACCTTTCATTACAAGGGACCCACAGGCAGATTGCAGTGGCAATCGAGGCGCACAACACTGTGAACACACTAGCAGGCCAAGACACCAAGAAGAGACAGGCGAAGCACTTCCCAATTGATCCCTTAATACGTCGTCTCGTGAAATATGTAATCTTCCCATGCACATATGTTGGAAAGGGCATGGATGCCTTCACTGACACGGCCCCTGTCGGACTTTGTTCTCGCGGCTGCTTGCCTTGTGTCGGGGTGGGATCCCCATCGGCGAGCTTGACTTGGCTCTCTCCCGCACCCTACTAGAAGATTGCTGCTATTTCCCCACATCATTGACCAGAAGGCTATCACAAGCACTAGCCATTGCTACCGCTAGGTGGCCTGAAGGTCCTAAGACTCTATAAGCCCAATGCGTTTTCGGTACAAACACCAAGCAGAAGGCAGCCAAAATGAAACACAGGTCTCTTTGCCCTAGGTGAGTCTCCAGGGGGCCTGCGCAAGCCCTCAACTAAGACTCGGAAGCCACCACTTCTGGCATCAGTGGCTCATCCTCAAATGCCAGATAAGGATCAGCCTTCGCTTCACCTGTGACTTGGTGCCAAAGTCTTGGAACTTAGGGGTTGCTCAGCGCAACAGGCTTTGGTAGAGATTATGCGACAAAGCTTGAGCTTTTGATAGTCTGTTTGGGGTGGCTGTCTTGGGCCTGTCGAGGCCCGACAGAAAAACAACCCATGGTGTCTGAAGCCTACGATAAACCCCTCACACGCTGATTCAATATTTTTGCTTTTGGCTCCGCCTGACCCTAAAACGGCACCATGAACACACACACGCCCAATGCATAACAGACGTATCGTTCGATTCAGATCGCAGGGCGTGCTAGCATTAAACTCTCAAGCGTGGATGCTCTTCAAAAACTGGCCTGGAACAAATGCAGCTTGAAGGCTTCATAGCTGAAGTGCCACAAGATGCACTCCCAAAAGCTACCATGGCACCGCACGTATACCTTTTGAACAGACGGTACTCAATGGCAAGGCTGGTTTTGGCTTTTCTGTTCGGGTGAAGATCATCACGAACTCATGTGAAGACCACTACATGCAATAATCCACCCAAGAGCCTCCACTCAGCGATCCGTCGTCATCTGAGACAGCAGGCGAGTTTGTTCGAGAGTCCAGGTTGACACAGTACCGAGGACTTTGTTTGCGTGGGGTTCCGCAGGTACTTCTCATACAAATTGCTAACGATTTTCCCTGTTTAGCGAGACACCCACAAGAAAAAAGGCTCACGGGCATCTCAATTTCAGAGGAAGATGGAATTACTGCGGAGGCCGCCTCATGCTACAGCCAACAAACAAGCAAACCAAAAACAGAGAGAGAGAGAGGGAGGACTAGCAAGGGAAGACTTCTTCCACCCTAAGCCTCAGCAAAAAAGCATCAGCAGGTTGCCTCCTGGCCCCTCGGTCTCCACTGGCGCAGACTCTGCTGCCTGAAGTGCCCACATTGAAACGTCTTTGAGGTTGAAGTGTCAATGTTCGGGTTGAAGTTGTTGGATTGGGAGTATTCTCCTAATGCTTTTTTTGGGCATCCTGGCATTGTGATCCGGTTGGCTGCTCACGGCTTTTGCGAAGAACTGGGCCACATTCTCTGGGCTGGTTTTACATGATCGGGGCTCTTGATGATCCTGCTTCTTGATCCTACGTCCCACAGCCTTGAAGTGCAAGGCTGACCATGTCACATGCGAGTGGCAGCTCAGACTTTAGGGCAACAGGGCGAACCGGCTAGCAAAGTTCCAAAAGCCTCCACCGGTTGAGTCTGCTCCTCGATCCGAGCTCGCTTCCTGCGCTGTCCAGGGTATTGGGCTTCTGAAATAGAGATGCAACATTTAAGATTTCAGCGCTTGCAGTTTTACGGCTTTTTTGGATCAGGGGTTCTAGGGATTGGGGGGTTGGGGTTTACGTCTTGGGGTTGGGGGTCTAGATTTTGAGCTTTACGATTTTCGGCAAACACGGAGGGGGCGGGGGGGGGGGGGCAGCCTTGAGTCAACAAAGCTGTTACTAATGGGATGCTCAAAGTCAATAGGGGGCGTATTGAAAGGACCAACCCAGGACTCAACTACCGGGCAGAGCACCCTTCCTGAAACTCGCCGATTACTTTCATGATGCATTCCACCTCACAGCTTGACAACATGACCATTCGTGATGTGGAAGGGCGAACAAAACACTTGGGCGTGGCGAATGTGCTCAGTGGAGCCAAGCGGGTTGGTGTCCAGATCCTCATCTGTTGAATGCCCTTCCAATGATTCAGAATTTTCAAGGCATATCAATACAATAGAAGTGCAAGCCAGAATCCTTGCTGACTACCATGGAAGGTTAGCAACGTTGCGACATGTTTCGTCTATCCAGCTGGAAACATGCTGGATACGGGTCTTCTGACCCAACAAGACTTCCGCCCCAGTATCACTAGCCTTCACTTTTTCCAGACTTGAGCAGTGAGACTCTGAACAACGTTAGCCCTAGCTAGACCTGGCACTGCAAGGGAGTCTCCTGGATCATTAGCATGCATGTAAAAATCCATCGAGCATGCCAAACAGATGCAAAGCCCTCGATAATTTGAAGCACGCGAGCCACAGACCCTCGTCCCTCAATCCAACACATGCCGAAATCCAGATCCCCAGGCGAATTCCAAGTCTGTGCCATCCTCTCGCTCGGGTCTCTCGGGTCCACAGGAGGGGCATCTGAGATGTCCTGCGTACTGTAGCAGAAAATCAAAAAAAAACTGCCAAATGCGCGCACATTTGACAGAGAAGTAACTAGTTATGCTGTAAAGATAGCAGCTTGACGATCGAGTAGAATCATGAGTCGCATTGGTCCCTTTCCTGAACCCATAGGATGGGTGACGTTCCTATTTTGTTCAGCACTTTGCGGCGTTGTACTCCCCGGCGAAATTTCACATTGCCATTAAGCTTGAAGTCCAGCCCAAAAGGGCACCGTGTTGCCTTCTAGCGTGCGTGCGGTATGCGGGTCTACTGGCTGGATCATGACACTCCTAACATTGCAGGCTCCCTAAATACTCAGAAGTATATATCGGGGATAGAACGAAACGCTGCGCAACAAAAAGAGCCCAACCCACAGACAGAACACTGCTTGCGCTCGGCTACAGGACATGACAAGGTACTGGAAGCATGAAGGTCACTGCAGTCATACCGTCGATGAGTCCATGAAACAAAACTAGGCTTGTCATATACTTCTCAATCAAGGCGTTGATTTTGCTATAACTAGCCTTGTATCAGCAAGTATTCACGTCCATCCGTTCACAAAGGACATTCGCACGAAACCCTGAACTCTCGCAGCTGGTGGCCTGCAAGACCTGCACGACAGCTTCCTTGCCCCTCTTCTTCGCCTTCTCAGCGAAAAGGAGCTTCCAAGCATTGGTGTGAATCTACCGCCAAGGCTTGGGCTGCTGTCAAAGTGAAAACGTTTGATCTCTGAGGCTTTCTGCTAGTCGAACTGGAATTCGTCGTAAACCACTTCCCCCTGATGCTTTTCGCTTCCCTAACCCGAGCCATAAACCATTATCAGACAGCCAACCTGTCAAAGCTATGGTGGAGCCCAAGGCCAGCCCTCCTCAAAAGCAAACAATTCGCGTGAGCACGCAAACGGCATCCAGCGATCTCCTGCTGTTAGTCCCAGGGAAAAAATCTCACAGCGCAAGCACTGTTGGATAGCGGCTTACATGACAAACAGCCAAAACATTACGGATCAGAAGAACAATCCGAACGCGCTTGCCTTCTTTGGCTTGGCGAAGTGGGGAAAGGACTCCATGCCTTTCTTGTTCTTCGTCGCTTCTGTGTGGGGGCACGAGGAATTTCAAAGGCTTGTTATGCTGGACTTGGGGGCTCTGAGGCGACAGATTCAGGAGTTGATAGCCTTGGGGTACCATTCTGAGCTATCGCCTTGGAAGATTGAAATGCCCAAACACATGACTCCTGGAATCTTTGCCGAAACTTAAAATTGCCCGCAACCTAGTCCCCATCTTGAACTCCTCAAGAACCCCAAGTACCGACAAGGGTCATGCAAAACATGCAATGGTAGCTTCCCACATGCCTATAGCCCCTTTAAGGAGACCTAAATATCTCTGAACCCCCTTTGAGAGGACCTAAGGTTTCCAAACTTGTTGAGTTATCCTTGCCTCGCGGTCGGAGACGCCAAATGGTCTCAAAACCTCCATCCTGACCGGGGATAGGTATAGACCATATGAGACAAGACCTTGAGGCTTTAGGTGCTTATAAAGGTTTTGCGTTTAGGGTCCTGACTGTCATGGGCAAGTAGAGACCAAGAGGAATAGGGCGATATGGCAATACGTAATATTCAGGGATACAAATATGCATATATATGTATATATATATATATTTTTTACTTATGTATTTATAAAAATGTATATATTTAGAAAATGCATATTTCTTATGCTTATGCGAGATCCAGAAGCCGAGCCTATTCGGTTCCTTAGCAACGGTGCGGGTAAGAGTGTTTTTTTTGTTGTCTGGTCTTTTTTGTTGTTTGGGCTTTTCGGGTGTTTTTTTTTTTGCTGTTTGGGC